GTATCCTACCATGTTACCGACATTGTTGATTGTTTTTCACAATTTTTCTGGTAGAATTTTTGGAATCTCTTATGTATAATATCATCTGTAAATAGAGACACTTTGACTCCTTTTTTCCATTTGTATCTGTCTAATTTACTTCTCTTTCCTTATTTCTCCAGCAAGTGCTTTGAGCACAATATTGAAAAGAAATTAAGATAATTGAAAGTCCTGCCTTGTTCCTGATTTCAGTGGGATTTTAAAAAAAATTTTCTCTACTTGGGATGAAGTTGGCTGTAGATTTTTCATCTATAGCTTTTATTGTATTAGCTGTGTTCCCTTTAGTCTTACACTCCCTAGGACTTTTATCAGGAAGATGTGTTAGATTTTATTGAAAGATTATTCTCCATTTGTTGTGTGAAATGTTTTACTCCTTTTGCTTTTTGAGAGAGGCCCACCACCCAGCTCTCAAATAAATCACACACAGAGGCTTATTTTTAGTTATGAATGTCCATTCTTAGCTTGGCCTGTTTCTAGCCAGCTTTTCTTATCTTAAATTATCCTATCTACCTTTTTTCTCTGGGATTTTTCCTTTTCTTATTTCTTATATCTTACTTTCACTCTTACTCCGTGGTTGGGTGGCTGGCTGGCCTCCTCTCTTTGTTCTCTTGTTGCTCCCTCTTCCTCATTTCTCCTTCTGTTTCCTCTCTGCCTGCCAGCTCCGCCTATCCTTGCTTCCACCTTGGCTGTTCAGCTCTTTATTAGACTATCGGGTGTTTTAGACAGGCAAAGAATCACAGTTTCACAGAATTAAACAAATGCAGCATAAACAAAAGTCCACCTTACTATTCCCCAGCATGCATTTGTTGAGATAATTAAGTGATTTTTGTCTAAGTCCATGTATGTGGGATTATTACATTTATTGACTTGCATATGTTGAGCTACTCCTGAATTTTTTTAATAAGCCAACTTGGTTATGCTGGGCAATATTTTTGATGTATGTCTGTATTTGGCTTGCAAGTATTTTATTGGGTTTATTTGGTTGCAAGCATTTTAAATTCTATGTTAATCAGGGATATTGGCCTGTGGCGTTTTTTTCTGTTGCTGTTGTGTCTTTACCTGATTTGGGTATTACAGTAATACTTGTTCACAGAACCAGTTTTTAGAGTTCTCTTTCTTCTTCTTCTTCTTCTTCTTCTTCTTCTTCTTCTTCTTCTTCTTCTTCTTCTTCTTCTTCTTCTTCTTCTTCTTCTTCTTCTTCTCCTCCTTCTCC